AAAGAGTTTGAGAACTAATTTGACACTTTATAGATGTTGGGACTAAAGTGATATACCTAGTCCATGTACATCTAAAAGAGGGAATGAATTAAATATTGAAGATGACTAATGTTTAAATCAATTATGCGAAATTATGAAGGAGAGCACCTACATTGGCACATTTATCTAAATTTATTGCTATCCTAAGTTCTTTATTATCCCAAGTCTGACAGATTATTCTTTGCACTGAGGATATGCTGAATCAGTCAATCTGGGATGCAATACATACTGAACATGTGGATTTAAAAGCTGTGAAGGTATATAAAGATATTCAGCTTCAAATTTCTTTTTATATTGTTGTCTTTAGCTTTGTTTTTGGTGGAATGTTGCCATGCAATACATACTATTAGGGCTGTGAATTTTGCTCGAAGTTCGTTAATCACTCGAAAATTGGTTTGAATTTTAGCTCGGAACGAAATTTTTTCAAACCGATTTTGAGCCATATATGAATCGCCTCGAACTAAATCAAGATCAGCTTATAGTATCTTTTATTTATAAAAATTATATATATAATGCTAAGTAAAATTGAATATAACTAGTCACGAACAAATTTCGAGCTGGAACGGATCCTAATAACTCAATTTGAGCCAATTTGTTTCAATTTTGAGTTAGATAGCACCGATCCCGAGTTGAAACATATCCAAATAACTCAATTTAACCCTACTCGTTTTGATTTCTAGCCAGCTCGGCTCAAAATTGTATATAACGAGCCACGAGAACCACACTATATCTGTTTGAGCAGACCCGACCTCGACTTTAAATCGGATTGTTAAGAGTCTTACATACTATCCTAAGATCACTTTTACCTATTAAACAACATTTTTTTCATCTAAGCATCTCCTAATTCATCATTGTCTTCTTTAACCCATTCTTACTTCTTTTTTTTTTAGTTTCTAGTGTTTAGAATCATAGAATTTTTTTTTTTTAAAAAAATCTTTTCTAAATTCATTTCTATTATTTAAACAACCTATTCACTGATAAAATCTATGCATCAAGCTTTAGGGGAAGTTTTTTATCATTTTGATTTGCAATTCAGATGGTATTAGTCATACTTTATTGTTTATTATGGGCTAATTTGCAAATTTGCAGGTTGCAAAGTCTGTGCCTAGAATTTGCTTTCTGTCTGGTTTAAGTGGGGAAGAGATGATGATGTTTATTGATGCATTTCCAGAAATTGGTAAAAATTTGCAGCACATTCCTCTGTTTTCTTCGGTTCGCTGAGTTGATTTTTAGAAAGATTTACATGCATACCACTCAAGTCTCGTGTATTTATATACCTAACACCTAAACTTCAATTTTTACATACACGCCATGCACCTAATTACCCATGCATTAAAAGATGTATTTCACTTTTTTTACGTGGTATGAAAGATTTGGGTTGTATAAATGTAAAAAATAAAGTTTAGGTGTTAGATATGTAAATACATATTGGATGGTGGTATGTTTGTAAATGCCCCCATAACATAACATCAATTTAGAATCCATGTGTTTTTGTGGATTATAACATTTAATTTGTTGCACATGAAAACATCATCTTTATAGGATTGTTCTTGTGTAGAAATTAGGCCTTTTGCTTTCACATGCCTATAAATATAGCTGAAAATTGGCTACCTTTTTTTTTTTTTGAAGATTTAAATATATACCGCATAATCTTATGTATTTACATATCTAACCCTCAAACTTCAATTTTTAAACATACACTTTACCTATGCATGAAAAGGTGTATTTCACTTTTTAAAATTTAAAAAGGTGGTATTTTTATGTGATATGAAAGATTTTATGGTATAAAATCTTAAAAAAAAGCATAGGTATTGGATATGTAAATACATAGGAATTGGGTGGTATGTTGTAAATGCCCAATAACAAAAAAAATGGTTTACATGAACAAGCCCTTTACATATCCAAGGGAGGAGATTTGCATACATATCACCTAATTTCTCTGTCTTTACATATCTAACACCTAAATTTAGCAATTTTACAATTATACCACCCAAATCTTTCATATCACATAGAAAATACCACCAATTTTAACTTTTAAAGGTGAAATACACTTTTCCATGCATAGATAAGGTGGTATGGTATGTATGTAATAATTGAAGTATAGGTGTTAGATATGTAAATACATATGAATTGAGGGGTATATATGTAAATCTCCCTCTCTTTTTTTTTTTTTTTATTGATCTTTATTTTCCCAGAAATGATACTATGAGACTTGTATGCAGGATTAAGACCAGCTGTGTTTGCTGCACTGGTACCCAACAGTACAGATAAGCTTGTGAAAGATGTTGCTGAAGAGATTATGGGTGATCACGAAATGCTGGTATATTTGCAATTTTATTTAAAGCTTGATGTAAAGTAAAAAAAGAAATTTGGTTTTGATATCCGGATCCAAATATGATCATGCAAGTATCATGCAAGTGTTGTTTGATTAGTCATACATGCATTTAGGGGCATTTACATACATGCCTCACCATTCTTAGGTATTTACATATGTAATACTTAAAACTTTTATATTTACACACATAACAACCGAATCTTTAATATCATATCAAAAATAACAGAATCACTATCCTTTAAAACTGAATCACATCTGTTCATGTATACGTTTATAAAACTAAGTTGTTAATAAGTGTAAACATTGGACTTTAGGCGTCAGATATGTAAATACATAAGAATCGTGCGGTATGCATGTAACTTTTCCTTGCATTTATCTCTAAGTAAATTTAGTGGCTGAATTGAACAAATTTGTAAATACATAAATCAATTTTTTTCTCTTTGATTTAATCTTAAGTTCATTTTCTTGTAACCTTTTTCTTCGTGTCTTCTGATTTTTTTCAGTCAGCAAAGCAGAGAAGTTGATTTCTTATAAGTCAGGGATTTGAGGGAGGAAGAAGGGACTATGAGCAAGAGATTATCAGGGTACAGTTCTACATAATATAACATTTTTAACTGCTTCTTTTCATCACAACCACTCTATTTTTCCCGCTAGTGAAGGCTTTGAGTGAAATTTTGGAGGATTAAAATGTTATATTCAATATTTTTAAGGGTTGCTATATAAAATATGTAACATTTTGCATGCAGTTCAATTATCCTTAAGGATTTCATTAAAAAAAATGTAATTTTTTTGCTAGAAAGTTAGCTATTTACAAAAGTAGTCTCTCTTTCATCCAATTTTCACTAAGTATCAAAATTCATTATAAAAGTGTAGCCCACATTTTTCATTTATATCGAATTCACAATGCTTTGATGGTGGCACGCATAAATGTATTGGTTCGATAGTTAAAAAAGAAAATGGCATGAGTGCTAGTTTTGCAAATATCAAACTTTCTGGTGCTATGTATGTAATTATAAAAAGGAAAGAGTAGATTACAGAAAATAAGTACTACGATCATTGATTGATTACGTTTGCTCCTAGTTTTTTGCACTTATGAGGATATTATTGTTAGTTAATTAGAAGTTAATTATTTCTTGTTAATCTAATGATTGAGTAATTACTTATTTAGTGCTGGGTTACGTGTAGTTATATTGGATTTTTATTGTTGATTAGGTGCTAATTGGTTAGTAAATTTTCAATTCTAAGGAATGACGGCAATTAATTGCCAGTAATTATCTAAGCAAATTAAAGCTTGTGATAAATATGTAAAAAGTAAGAATGATTTGAAAGATATGCAAATTTTATTATGTAATAACATTAAATTATCACACCTGTAAATTGTATTATACATTTAATTTATTTAATTATACTTATTTTTCTAGCAATATTCAATTAACTAATGTTATTTTAAGTATGAATGAGCGGTAAAATACAAATTCACCAAAAGATATGCTTTAACTCTCCAATTATGATAAAATTTATGGCTGTGCATGTGGGCCCTCATTTATTATATTTTAAACTTGGGAACTGACCCGATTATGATCTCACGTTTGTGGTATCGTGCGGGTAGCTTCTGTGTCATGAATAGGGTTGTAATTGAACTGAGTCGCGCCGAGTATATCATAGTACGAATTTTTATGGAATAATTATAAGTTGTTCGTGTTTTCCTTGAACATATATCAAGCCCTCATATATTATTCAAGCTTGACTTGTTTAAATTCTATAATGTTTGAACTTGATTTGTACTTAATTTTTTTATGACAAGTTAACTAGTATTTAAATGAGCGAATAGTTCAAACGAGCATCTAAATTCTCATATAAGTTCTATAAATAATTTTATAAATTTGATCACATCTATTAATTTATTAATTATAAATTCTAAACCCTACAACAACTTAAATCTTCTCTATCCACAATTTTGCCAAAATTCCTCACTTAAGAGTTGTTTAATAAATAATTTGTGTAGCATTTAAGCATGACTGAACTTAATTCCTACCAAAAAAACAAAAAATAAGAACTCAATGGTTGAAAGCTATTATAGGAGCCCTCAATCACCCTGAGACTGCTCTACCAATAGACCACAATTGGCGGTGCTATTATAGGAGCCCTCAATCACCCTGAGACTGCTCTACCAATAGACCACATGTGTGTTGTTTTTTCAATTATTTAATTATTTTTAAAACATTGAAAACATCTAAATATTATTTTGAGTGATTTTAAAAATAACTATATTTTAAATGCCAAATATATTTTATTGTAAATAAAACATAACCAAAATAAAACACAAATAAAAATTTAAAACAAAAAAGAGGCATTCACATAAATACAATCCAATTCTTATGTATTTACATTTTTAACACCTAAACTATACTTTTTTTTTACACTTATATTATCCAAATCTCTCATATCACATCAAAAAATACCGCTAAATTAACTTAAAAAAAATTTGAAATACACATTTTTGTGTGTAACTAAGGTGACATAAAATTGAAATTTAGACATCAGATATGTAAATACATAGGAATTGGGTGGTATGTGCATGTAAATCTTCCTAAACAAAATCAAATAAAAAGTAATCTCAATGACATTATACCATTCAATGTCAAATTACACACCTCAATCTTTTAGGAACTCAAAATGCTCATTCAAGTAGATAAGAACTCTCTGTATAATAAATAATTTGTTCGGCAGAACGAAAATTTTCGAGCAATTTTAAGAACAATTAACATACCAACACCAAAGCTCAATCTTTGATCGCAAAGGAGAAGCCAAAACTCGTCAACCACCGAGTCACAAGTGACGCGACATCCATCACTAGTATGATATACTTGGGGGTTATTTGGGATCACATTAATTTTCTTATTTTTATTTTTATTTTATTTTATTTTGTTTATATTTTTAGTTGAAGTAAATTACGTTGAGTATAAATAACTTCAAATGTTTTGAGTGTATTTTAAATCAAGCTGATTTATTATTTATTTTTAAATAAAATAGAAGTGATCTCAAAGAAAGCCTTTAAGTATACATACCTTTTATTGTAGGCATGGAGGAGGTGAGAGTAATAGTGATGGCTATGCAGATTCAGCCTTGCAAGGGATGTCAGTGCAGCTGCAGATTGGTCTGCCAGAAGCTTTCCAGCCATTAAAACCTTTCTCCAAAACCATGACTTCTTTAATTCCACCATTTTCATTCACTTTTGATAAGTAATCTGCGAAAATCCTTGCGCAAGCTGGTCCTCTTACCTGTAAACCCAATGAGATTCCCATTTTTTTATGAAAATATGGTAAAAATATATATTTAAGGGGTATTCACATATGTATCACATAATTCTTATGTTTTTACATATCTAACGCCTAAGAGTTGATATTTACATGCATAACACTCAAAAGTTTAACATCAAATCAAAAATATCACCATTATTAACTTTTAAAATGTGAATTGTATCTTTTCATATATAGGTTTATGACACCAAAATATTATAAATGTAAATATAAAACTTTGTAGAGTTAGATATGTAAATACATAATAATTGTGTATTATGTATGTAAATTTCCCATAAAAATAGTTTTATCAATATATAATGGATTTCATGAACAACACACTACACCCAACACATCATTATTAACTTCCATTTTGGAAACAGGATGTATGCTATTTTTTCTCAGATTGCATCACATTGGCCTCAAAATGAACCTAAGGATCAACAAATCGATTTGATTAAAGCCGATTGACTCAAAGACAATCCAAATAAATACTGATTAGTCCAAGTTCTACCATATCAAGATTGATCAACTTAATGTCAATCCAATCAAACACTCGTTACCCCAAACACTCAGTTGATAAAAGAAGAACTTGTTGTTTGGCTTATTTATGATCATAAATAAGGTCACCATATATATATATATACAT